TTAAGTCTCCCATTACTTGAAGTTATGAATGAAGTGATGATGAAGAAGAAAGTACCCAAGTCATGGACTGAGGTGTATATCACATTGATCCACAAAGAAGATACAGACCCACAACAAATCAAAAACTATAGGCCTATATCCCTACTAAATTCAGACTATAAAATTTTTGCTTCAATATTGGCAGAAAGACTTAAGAGATACTTAAATAATTTTATACACACAGATCAAAATGGATTTCTTCCAAAAAGACAGATTAGAGACAATATTAGAATAATTCTGGATACTTTAGAATACTATGAAGCGCATCCTGAAAAGCAGATGGTTTTGATATTCTTAGATGCACAAAAAGCTTTTGACAATGTAAATTGGCGATTTATGACGCTCCAAATGGAAGAGATGGGCTTTGGTAGGAAAATTATTCAAGCAATAGAAGTTATATATTATAAGCAAACGGCAAAAGTAATGATAAATGGAGAATTTACTGATTCTATTGAGATAGAAAAAGGTACTAGACAAGGATGCCCACTGTCCCCACTGTTGTTTATATTGACATTAGAAGTTTTAAATAGAAATATTAGAGCAGAAAACGACATAAAAGGCATCAAAATTCGAAAAGAAGAATATAAATTGCAAGCATTTGCAGATGGTGTGATTTTTATTATTGAAGAACCACTAATATCAATAAATAAACTGATAGAGAATATTGGAGAGTTTGGGAATGTAGCCGGTTTGAAAATTAATAAAGACAAAACAAAGATTTTGACTAAAAATATGTTGATAAAGCAAGAAGAACTGATGGAGATATCAAAGATGCAGGTCACAAACAAGGTAAAATATTTGGGGATATATTTGACTGCAAGATGTAGTACACTTAAAGAAAATAATTACAATAAGCTTAAGCAACAGATAGGGACAAACTTGGCGAAATGGGGAAATTTGCAGCTTTCTTTGATTGGTAGGATCTCAACTATTAAGATGAATATTTTGCCTAGAATTTTGTATCTATTCCAGACAATTCCAATTAGATTGGGTAAAGAATTTTTTGAAGATTTGAATAAAATGATGTTGAAATATATTTGGCAGGGAAAGAAGGTGAGGATAAAATTAAAGTTGTTACAAGATGCTAAAATGAGGGGAGGTTTTGGTTTACCTAATTGGGAACTTTATTATCAAGCAACAAGCCTGATGTGGATTAAAGAATGGATAACTTTGAGAAATACTAGATTATTGAATTTAGGAGGAGATGATTTGTTGATGGGATGGCATGCTTCTTTATGGTATAAAGGAATAAAAATACAAGGGTATTTTAGAAGACATCAGATACGGGAAGCTTTATTATTGAATTGGGAGAAGATTAAAAAACATTATTTGAAGATTCCAGTCTGGGTATCTACAATTGAAGCATTTTCATATTCCGTAGTATTTAAAAACGAACAAATTGTCAGATATAGTGAATTAATGGATGAAAAGGGTGAACTTAAATTAAAGCAAGAACTAGAAGAACAGGGTTGTAAAATGGATTCGTTTTCATATTTGCAAATACGTTCTAGATATGAAGAAGATCTTAAACAAGAAGGTTTCTACAATGTTTTGACTAATTTAGATAAAATTTTAATGGGTTCTAATGACTATGTAATTAAAAAATTATATGGTTAGAGGTAAAATTGGAAGAACAAGTTAAAGAATCAATGATAGCATGGGGAAAAATTTTGGTCATGGTATTGATTTAGAGAAATGGCAAAAATTGTGGTCGCAAAATTATAAAATGACAACATCTAGAGCATATAAGGAGAATTTGTATAAGATGTTTTACAGGTGGCACCTACTCCCGACGAGGATAGCCAGAATGTTCAAGAATAAATCGGAGAAATGTTGGAAGTGTCATCAGACTCCAGGATCATATTACCATATGTGGTGGACATGTGTAGAAGCTAAGAGATATTGGACTAAGATACACACGTGGTTGGAAAAAATGATAAAGAGACATATTGACTTTAAACCAGAGAAATTACAGGGATCTTACCAGAGACATACAATAGAGAATTGCAATATTTAATTGTGAATGTTTTAACAGCGGCTAGAATTGTATTTGCTAAAAATTGGAAAGGAGAGAAGATACCTACTGATGATGAAGTTATTAAGAAAATTATGGACTGTGCTGAAATGGGTAAATTGACATTTGAAATTGGAGAACAGGAAGATAAACAATATTATCTGATATGGGATTTGTTTTATCAGTGGATAGATAATAAAACATGGAGATGAAATATGAAATATGAAGTTGATGTAAAGATAAAATATGTGAAGTTCTTTTTTATGAGTAATAAGTTTTTATATATTGGTACTTTGAAGATGGGATTAAGCACAAAAGAATGCTAACCGATCGACACACTGTCTGTAATTGTTTGGAATGATGATGGTTTTATGTTTTGTTGGTTTTAAAATAAAAAAAAATTCAAAAAAAAATTGGATACTTGGGCATCTTACTCATATTTATGACCAATGCAGTGTCCTAGGGTCATCTGATCACCTTTTGTGATCTTCTGACAAGCAAAGTCAATGGGGAAGTCATTCATTTAACAATCCTGCTACTAGCTTAACAACTGCAGTGATTCACTTAACACCTGTCCTGTTTAACAGTGGAAAACATGGGCTGAATTGTGGTTGTATGTTGAGGAAAGTCTCTCTCTCACACACAGAAGCTCCAGTCATGATGTTCCAGACAAAGCTAAGGAGCCACTTGCATTATTCGAATTTTGTATTTTATTCATCTACTCCTTTCCCATTTTTATTAATTTTAGAAATAATTCAAGGTGACAAACGTATCCAGAACACCCTCCTGCTCTGAATTTCCTCACAACAACTCTGTGAGGTGGGTTGGGATGAGAGAAAGGGACTGGCCCAAAGTCATCCAGCCGGCTTTCATGCCTAAAGTGGGACTAGAACTCACCATCTCCTGATGATTGACCCAAAGTCACCCAGCTGATTTTCACACCTAAGGCAGGACTAGAACTTACCATCTCCTGGTGATTGGCCCAAAGTCACCCAGCTGATTTCACGCCTAAGGCAGGACTAGAACTCCCCATCTCCTGGTGATTGGCCCAAAGTCACCCAGCTGATTTTCATGCCTAAGGCGGGACTAGAACTTACCATCTCCTGTTGATTGAGGCTTTTGTGCATGAGGCGGGACTAGAACTCATTGTCTTCTGGTGATTGGCCAAAAGTTACCCAGCTGGCTTTCATGCCTAAGGTGGGACTAGAACTCATCGTCTTCTGCTTTGTAAACTGCTGTCTTAAACATAGACGAAACTGGCTCTCACGATGGAGTGTGCGTGTTTGCTCATTGCATAGGTTATTTTGGAAGAGGTCAGCCAAAGAGCGTGTTCTCGCTGAGTTTGGTTGTTTGCTTGCAGAGGTTTCATTACCCAATTAGGTAACAGCATCAACTATCTTATTCCTGTCCCTTTCTAGACAGATGCTTCTTTCAGGGTGGGCATCTACCCAGCATCACTGGATTTTCTTCCTTTGGTTAACAGATGTTTTGTTATGCTTTTTAGGGGTCACGTATATAATTTGGCATTTGAAGTTTTATTTTATTAAATTTTGAAACCACACCTATCTATATCACAGAAGGACTCTGGGCAGTGCAGAAATAAAATATTAAAAGATACAAAATTTAAAAAGGAGAGGATAAATTAAAAATAAATGTGTTTATTTTTAAGGGGGCTTTCAGGGTGCTAACCAGCTCTAGAGCTGTGTGCTCTCAAGACCCAAGCAAGGTCAAAGAGCCATGTTTTTACAGCTTCCCAGAATGTCAGGAGAGTGGAGGCCCACCTCACTTCTGGGGAGAGAATGTTCAACAGGGTGGGGGCAACAGCATAGAAGGCTCTCTTCTTTAATTCATGAATTTAATTCATGGTTTCTTTGGTAAATGACCAAAGGGTTATAATCCTCTAATGGCAGATTCCCAAATTTCTTACTAAACTAACACTCTGGCATCTATTCCCTCTTTGTAAAAAAAAAAAAAAAAAAAGTCAACAAATATCTCTCTAGACAAAACAAAAAGCAAAAATACTTCCATATATTGCAAATTGTTTAAAAAGACTCTTGAGAGTCCCTTGGATTACAAGGAGATCCAACCAGTCAATCCTAAAGGAAATAAATCTTGACTGCTCTTTAGAAAGACAGATCTTGAAACTGAAGCTCAAATACTTTGGCCACTAAAGTAGTCCATGATGTTTGGAAAAATAGAAGGCAAAAGGAGAAGGGAACAGTAGAGGATGAGATGGTTAGATAGTGTCATCAACACAATGAACACAAATTTGGGTAAACTCCAGGAGACAGAATAGAATAACAGAGTTGGAAGGGACATTACAGGTCATCTAATATAACCCACTGCTCAGACAGGAAATCCTATACCATTTCAGAGAAATGGCTGTCCAATCTCTTCTTAAAAATCTCTAGTGTTGGAGCATTTACTATTTCTGGAGGCAAGTTGTTCCACTGGTTAATTGTTCCCACCATTTGGAAATGTCTCCTTAGTCCTAGGTTGCTTCTCTCCTTGATTAATTTCCACCTGTTGCTTCTTGTCCTGCCTTTAGGTGCTTTGGAGAATAGCTTGGCTCCCTCTTCTTTGTGGCAGCCCCTCAGATATTGGAAGACTGCTATCATGTCACCCCTAGTCCGTCTTTTCATCCAACTAGACATACCCAGTTCCTGCAACCATTCTTTTATGTTTTTACCTCCAGCCCCCTGATCATCTTTGTTGCTCTTCTCCGCACTTTTTCTAGAGTCTCAACATCTTTTTTACATCGTGGTGACCAAAACTGGATGTTGTATTCCAAGTGTGGTCTTACCAAGGCCTTATAGAGTGGTATCAACACTTCATGTGTTAGTGGGAAGACAGTGAAGGACAAGGGGGACCTGGCATGCTGTGCTCCATGGAGTCAGACACAACTTAATGACTGAACCACCACAAAATTGAGATCAAAATTACTTACAGCATTTTCAGGATGGAAGATGTAAGATGCAGGAGAATTGTCTACGATGACGACTTTGCTCAATTCTCGTCCAAGCCGGCTAAGATCTTTCACATAATTTCCTCTGTGGAAAACACAGGATTCCCGGAAGAGTCGAGCCGTAAACACACCCCAACGGTCCAACAAATCTGCCACTGGATCCGCGTACTTTTGAATATTTTTTTTTTTTTAATAAAAGAAAAGGGGTTACGGTTAAGAAATGAGAGAACGTTTCTGTCCCCGTGAAAACTAAATGAATACTTTTATATACAAATATTAAATAAGCCCCAATGAAGAAGTAAAGATAAAACCATGATGACAGTGTGGCTAACTGCTTTCCTTGGATGTGACGTAAAGCTTCCAGAAGTCAAAAATGATGGCAGGCTTTGGGTTAAAGAGTTCTGTTTAGTCTGGTGGAAATGGTTCAAGCTTAGGGTAAGAGGTCTTCCTAGGAACTAAGCACTAAGAGAAGCCCCAGAAAATTGAGGATTAAACACACAAAAATACAAGTCGTCCTCAACTTGCGACCAAAATTCAGCCCAAAATTTCTGTTGTTAAATGAGACATTTGTTAAGTGAGTTTTGCCCCATTTTAGAATCTTTCTTGCCACATTTGTTAAGTGAATCCCTGCAGTTGTTAACTTAGTAACACGTTTGTTAAGTGAATCTGGCTTCCCCCTTGACTTTGCTTGTCAGAAGGTTGCAAAAGGGGATCACATGGCCCCAGGACACTGTGAACGTCATAAATATGAACCAGTTGCCAAGGGTCTGAATTTTGATCACATCATTATGGGGATGCTGCAAAGGTTGTTTTTTTTTTTCACCCTTTGAAAATGTTTGCTTCTTTTCCAACTGCAGAGGCTTCTTAAATGAGAAGCAAAACGTTTTTAAAGGAAAAAAAAAGAAACCAAGGCAGTCTAGTTGCTTTTTGAAAAAGCATCTTTGGGATTTGGTTCAAGTCTAATTCCAAAGACATCATCAAAAGGAACCAGCTTCGTCTAGATCAAAATCAAAATGGCATTTTGTCTGTGTGATATGAAGTACAATTGGAAAGTCTCATTTTTGGAAAGTGCAGGTAACCGTGACAAAAGTAGCAAGTATGCTTTAGAACAGTGATGGCTAACCTTTTTGCCATCGCGTGCCAGGAGCTGGGGGAGTGAGAGGGGGGAGGGTGTTGCACGTGTGCCCATACCCATAATTCTATGCACCCCGCCCCTGTGCGCACGACCCTCCCACCCCCAGCTCCGGGCATGTGATGGCGCGGTGGGCCCGTTTTTCTCTCTCCCCAGGCTTCAGAGCCTTCCTAGGAGTCTGGGGAGGGCGAAAACAGCCTCCCCACCCCCCAGAAGCCCTCCGGAGGCTGAAAACAGCCTGTTTGGCGACTTCTGGTGGGACCGGAAGGTCTGTTTTTTTGCTCTCCACAGGCCCCAGAACCTTTCTAGGATCTGGGGAGGGCGAAAACGGCCTTCCCCACATCCCCAGAGTCTCTCTAGAGGCCAAAAACAGCCCGTTTGCCAACTTCCAGTCCCACTGGAGCTGAGCTCGCGTGCCCATAGGTTCGCCATCACGGCTTTAGTGTTTAAATCAATTCTTCATGAAGGAACACAGTATATGAAGTTGTAAATTTCCTAAATATATTCTGCTATAAAAATAGTCCTTGATTTACAACAGTTTGTTTAGTGACTATGCAAAGTTACAATGGCACTGAAAAAAAGTGACTTATGACCATTTTGCACATTGTGGTATCCCCATGGTCCATGACCAAAATTCATATGCCGGACAACTGACATATATGGCTGTAGTGTCTGGGGTGTGTGTGTGTCATGTGATCCCTTTTGCAACCTTCTGACAAAAAATGTTAATGGGGAAGCCAGATTCACTTAACAGTCGTGTTACTAACTTAACAACCCGTGATTCTTCACTTAACAACTGTGGCAAGAAAAATGGAGCACTCTCTTAACAAATGTCTCACTTAGCATCAGAAAGTTTGGGCTCAATTGTGGTCGTAAATTGAGGACTACCTGTATTAGACTAGAAATTGAACAAACCAAGACTTAAACTATTGTAATTTTATAATAATCCTGTTTTAATTTGAAAACTGTGTATCTTGTAATTTTCTGCACTGCACAGAATTTCAGAGCACAGATTAGACAAAGTTCTAATTTCACTGCAATGCCAAAGTACGATGGTTTCAAACGGCACAGAAATTTTTCAATGAAAATGTGGAAGGCTAATGAACTTGTCTTGATTTTTTGTCTTCCTTCTCAAGCCTGCTGAATCTCCCTGGAAAAAGGAAGAATATTAAAGCTGCTTTAATGCTGAAGCTCGGGGTTTTGTTGCCACCTGAAATATTTGAACTCTGGATTCTCTGCCAGCACCACTCCTGGTGTGAACTAAATATCATATTTAGATGAAAAATTTGTAAAAAGGCCTCCTGCAAAGTTTCTTGCAGCTGCTCGGAAAGTTATCTCTGGATATATGCACAGCTGTTTTGCCTAGTTGGTGATCTGTTCTGTGTAGGCACAGCCTTGCTTGTAATGTTTTTTAAAAATCCAGAATAGGAATAATTTTGATGAAGCGTCCTTGTATGGAAGCCCCTCTTGTAAACAAGAGCCACTTGTCAACTTATTTGTGAGGATATTCTATTCCACTGGCTTAATGCACCTTCCTAATTTCTCCACTGCTATCCAAGTGTGTGCACAATAATGATTTTATCCTTTGCAAAAGCAGACAGAGCTTTTCTGCTATCACAGGTACAGACAACACTGGAAACACCACAAGACTAAAACATTTATGGTGGAAGTCACTAAAAGCACTACGACTTCTAATTCAAGGATACAACGAAGTATTGGTCCCCTTCCTTCCTGTTTAGGAACATCCCAAGTCCACAAAGACAGATAACGTCAGCAGAATTTGCATTATATATACATATATACATATATATATATAAAATTTGCTGTGTACGTTTTGACCTGCTTGAAGACTCTACTATTAATTGCCCATACATCGATCTAACAGTGCAGCAGATCTGCTTAATCTGTCCCAGTTTAAGGATAATACATTATGTAATAAGCTATTTTTCTCTCTAACACCCCCCCCCATACATACATAACCATGGTAACTAAAAAAAGCCTCCCATATTGGCATCAGGAGCAATCCAGGAAGGCTGAGTTATGAGACGAGCCCATATGTGATACGGTTACCATGGGAACACTTACCCACACATTAGCAGGCAAAAGTACACGTTGCCAGATAAAGAAAGCAGAAGGGAAAAAAAGGGGTGGGAAGGAGATGAAGATGAAGATAATTATTTTCTCCTTATTTGATATGCCAAAAAAAAAGAAAGAAAGAAAGAAAAAGGACCCCAACTTTCCTTCTAGGAGATTTGGGTAAAGGAAGAAAACTCAATTATTAATGTTCACCAAATGCCCGTTTCTTCAGAAATGCTGGACAGCTGACCCAGCTAAGCCAATGTAACAAAATTAACCAGGGTGAGTGTGTGTTGTGTCCAACTTTGGAATACCTGAAATGAGACAAGATTGTGAGAATAAGAGACGCACAGATTGCACAACTTACTTTTGCTAGGCTGGCTGTGAATAGCACACATTCAAAAAGGTCTCCCATTCTCTGAAGAAATTTGTCCACATGTGGCCGTTTTAACACATAAACCTGGAGGTAGAGAAAGAAGGCAGGCACTGAGATTCAAGAATGAGCAAACAGCTGAACTTCATGATCCTGGAGAATCAATTTATATTTTGATAAAAACAAGAAGTGAAGTGAAGTCTAGCTGGATCGTTACAAAGACCTAGCTAGTGCAGTTTTGTTCCTGTATAAATTGGTGAGGCAGTCCAGGAAAGACAGTATAAACTTAAAGGAATGCAATTTTAAAATTAAAGGATTGTTATCAGGTATATGTTACCTATGATACTAACTTAAGAACTTTTATTCGTCTGCAAAAAGAATGAATGGATTCAATGCTCTCTTTTTCCTCTACAAAAAGAGGAAGGATTCTGTTCTGTTCTGAAAATGAAAAGGGACTCCTATTTTATTTTGTTTAGTTTTCAAAATGGCAAAATCCCTGATTTGTGAATGGAATGGATTTTCATGGATTTTACTAGTAAAGCTGTTGGTAGGATTGTAGCTAAGATACTTAAGTAAATAATTATAGCTAATGCAATAAAACCTATCCATACTAACTCAAGAAATGTTGTTCCTGCCACATAATTATTGAACACAGAAATACAGCTAGTCCTCAACTTACAACCTTAACTGGGCTGAAAAGTTTTTGTTCCTAAGCAAGGCAGTTGGTTAGGTGACTTTTGCCCCATTTTATGACCTTTTTTTGCCACAATTGTCACGTGAATCCCTGCAGCTGTTAAAGTGAATCCTATGGCAATTTAGCAAATCCAGCTTCCTGCACTGACTTTGCTTGTTGGAAGCTGGTTGGGAAGTTTACAGATGATGATCACATGACCCTGGGACACTGCAACTGTCATAAACACATCCGTTGTGAAGTGTCTGAATTTTGATCATGTGACCATGGGGATGTTGCAGCAGTCATTAAGTAAGAAAAGGTCATAAGTCACATCTTTCCATGCTGGTGTAACTTCAAAGAGTCACTAAACGAATGGTTGCAAGCAGTGGTGCCATTCAGCCGGTTCTATCCAGTTCGGGTGAACCGGTAGTGGCGGCTACGAGAGGCTCCACCCACCCACCGGATCATTTTTGACGCTCTGTGGATGCCATTTGCAAACCGGTAGCGAAGGTAAATGAATACCAGCCCTGGTTGTAAGTCAAGGTCTACCTGTACTGACTCAAGGCAGAGGTAGAATAGAATAGACTAGAAATAGAAGAATAGAATAGAATAGAATAGAATAGAATAGAATAGAATAGAATAGAATAGAATGGAAGGGAAGGGAAGGGAAGGGAAGGGAAGGGAAGGGAAGGGAAGGGAAGGGAAGAGAAGAAGAAAAGAGGAAGGGGAAGGGGAAGGGGAAGGGAAGAGAAGAAACGAGGAAAGGGAAGGGAAGAAGAAAAGAGAAGAAGAGAGGAAGGGGAAGGGAAGGGAAAGGAAGAGAAGAGAAGAAAAGAGAAGAAAAGAGGAAGGGAAGGGAAGGGAAGAGAAGAAAAGCGGAAGGGGAAGGGGAAGACAAGAGAAGAGAAGAGAAGAGAAGAGAAGAGAAGAGAAGAGAAGAGAAGAGAAGAGAAGAGAAGGGGAAGGGAAAACAAGACAATATTGTTACTAAATTGTACAATAGAAGAGAGAGACAAACATTGTAAGTATTGTGTCAGCATGTAGTTTGGTTTTGTATGTGTTTAATTGACTTTTTTAACTGGAGGTAATCTACTCTTGAATTACGACATCTTTGGTTGCAGGCCGTCTTTTTAGAAATGTGCGAAGAAGACATGTGGACTTGGGACTTCCCAGCATCCTCTTTATCGTGTTGTGGCTACGTCCCGGTGCAAGTACTCAAGGATAGGCCATTGAGATTGTACACAGCCTATCCTGGATTACTTGAACCGGGTCGCAGCCCCTCCTGGAAAGGCACGCCAAGAAGGCTGTTCTTTAGAAAAAGAATAGATTAGATGCAAAACATCATCACCTACTAAAACCATGCGCAACTGTTCACAGTTTATCATAGTTTTACACACACTCTTAGCTATTTCTAAACGAGAAAAAAAGTTAAAACAGTTTGCAAGTACAGATAGTCCTCAATTTACAACAGTTCATTTAGCGACCATTCAAAGTTACAACTGCACTGAAAAAATTAATTTAGGACTGTTTTTCTCAGTTACGGCCTTTGCAGCATCCCCATTATCATGTGATCAAAATTTGGACGCTTGGCAACTGACTCATATTTATGACAGTTGCAGTGTCCAGGGATTACGTGATTGCCTTTTGTGACCTGACAAGCAAAGTCAATGGAGAAACCAGATTCACTTAACAAATGTGTTACTAAGTTAACAACTGCAGTGATTCACTTAACAACTATGGCGAGAAAGGTTGTAAAATGGGGCAAAACTCATTTAACAAATGTCTCACTTAACAACAGAAATTTTGGGCTCAATTTTGGTTGCAAGTTGAGGACTACTTTCCTTCATAAGTTGTTGCAGTCATTTGAGTAAACGTGACCTGGTCCGATTTTACGACAGTGGTTAAGCGAATTCAGATTCTCCAAAAGGTTTTTTTCTGGGTATATTTTGCTGGAAACAAAGAATCACATGATTGCAGGATGCTGCAACTGGTTGTAAATGCGAACCAGTTGCCAAGTGCCCAAATTGAGATCACATGACCATGGCAGTTATGAGACTGTGATCGTTTCAAGTGCAAAATCAGGTCATAAGTGAGTTATTTTGTGTGGCTGTTGGAACTTCAAACTGTCATTAAAGGTCATAAATTGAGGATTTTCTTTTTCACCACTTTTTCAATATTTTCTTTTTTTCACCATCTATATTAAATATAAGATAATACACATATGTATTTGCATGTTCAATTAAGTGCAACTCTCATTCAAGTGATGAAACTGTAGCAGTTTCTCCTGCTTAAGCAGGGGGCTGGACTAGAAGACCTCCAAGGTCCCTTCCAGCTCATTCATTCTATTCTGTTTCTCTTCTATAATGTAGTTTATTATCTTATATATACTCCTTGCTCCAAATTAGAATCTCAAAGCATTTTCAATCAGAAGGATGCTCTGTCCGAATACAATTTTTAATGGTAACTAAATATATTCAATGCATTGTCCTTGAGGAAGCTAATTTTTTCTTTTATTTCTCATAGAGTTAAAAAGACTAGTTTTAGATAGAATACTATGTGCTTGGTACTGAATTTTGATTTTTAAAAATCAAGATTCATCTTTGACCCTCTATTTAAAGACACCCATCATGGTTGTTGAAAAGAAGGGTTAAGAATTTTGGATTGTACCACCCAAAAATATTTAATGGAGCAAGAAGGAAAGGAGATTTTTGAACTGAACTGAAATCCATAATTGTCCTATACTTCAGAAGGCTGTCAGAAAGCCATACAGGAAGTCCTCAACTTACAATTACAACTGAGCCCAAAATTCATGTTACTTAAAAAAACGTTTGTGAAGGGAATTTTGCCCCATTTTACAACCTTTCTTGCCACAGTTGTTATGTGAATCACTGCACTTTTTAAGTTAGTAACACGGTTGTGAAGTGCACCATTGATTTTGGTTGCCAGAAGATCACAAAAAGGGATCACATGACCTTGGCACACTGCAACCATCACAAAAATGAACCAGTTACCAAAGTCTCCAAATGTTGACCATGTGACCATGGTTGTAAGTGCGAAAAATGGTAATAAATCATTTTTTTCAGTGTTGTTGTAACTTTGAATGGTCACTAAATGAACTGTTGTAAGTTGGAGACTACCTATATATAAATTCATCCTTTTTTGATGCATGTATCTGAAAAATTGGACTTTTAGCACGTAGAACTGACATCTGACCCTCCGGAAGTTATCATGGACAGCAGGTAAGTTATCTGGATAAGACTATCACAAGAAGACTAGGCAACAAAATATCCTTATGTGTTGAACCAATTATTGTTACCGTTTAAAGTAACACTTTTTACTATCTTATTGTCAGTTTGAACTGAAATAGCTTTCAAGTTGAAACTCTGCAGTCCCCCAATCTCACTAATTTTAATCTGTCCGTTAACTCCAAAACTTCATCTTTTGCCAAGCTAATCTGACCATGGTAGACAGGTGCAAAGCTATTTGCCACCTCCATCTAAAAAATGCAAATAGTACTTCTTACCTGATGTATAGTTCCATCAATTTCAACAGGAACGATGAAATCAGCATTACTAATTGGCTAGAAAAGTGAAAACAAAATGATCTTTAAAAAAAGAATCATTTGTAGTCTGCAGTGTGAAGAAACGTAACAAAATCACAACATAGCCCACCTGGCATTAATCTGCATCAACTGGCAGGAATAGGTTCTTTTACACTTACCAAAGAGATTGGGATTATCCTATTCATACATTGAAGAGAGGCATTCCAATGTTTTGCTAAGATGTATTTGTATAATACAGGAATTATACAGATTTCTACAATACAGACATAACAGTTGGCAACATAGGAGCCTGGATAGCTCAACAGACAGACCTCTGTAATTTAACACCAGCTGTCTGCAATTAAAGTAAGATCGAATCTCCCCAGGCTCAAGGTTGACTCAGCCTTCCATCCTTTCTAAGGTAGGTAAATTGAGGACCCAGTTTGTGGGGGCAATAAGCTGACTGTATAAATATACAAAAGTATTTAAGGCTATTGCTTAACGCACTGTAAGCCGCCCTGAGTCCCCCGAGAAGTGCGGCATATAAATCAAATATAAATCAAATATAAATAAAAAACATGTTTTTTTGAAAAAAAAACCCAACAAAGAAGGGTTATTAAAAGTTGGAGCAGACTGTACCTTCCTTCAAGCAAAAGAGAGATCCCCCCCCCGAATAAACTGAGAAAAGGCATATCCCACACCTGTCACACTCCCAACAGAATTAGTTACTAGGAAAAAAACCCAATTCTTTGCTATAGGACCATGATAGCAAACCTATGGTACGTGTGCCATAGGTGGCACGTGTAGCCATATCGGTGGGCACGCGAGCTCAGCTATGGCACGCATGTCAGCATGCCACTTGATTTTCGGGCCTTCTGGGCCCACCAGAAGTAGGGAAACAGTCCGCTTCCTTCCACCGGAGGCTCTTGAGGAGTGGTGGTGAAGGCCCGTTTTTCTCTCTCCCCAGGCTCCAGAGCCTTTCTAGGACAACTTCCGGTGGGAGCGGAGGCCAGTAAACAGGCCATTTCCAGCTTCCGGAGGGCCTCGGGGGGGGGGGGGAATGGGAAAGGCCGGTTTCACCTTCCCCAAGCTCCTAGAAAGGCTCTGGAGCCCGGGGAGAGAGAAAAACGGGCCTACCGCGCCATCGTGTGCCAGGAGCGGGGGAGTGGGAGGGTCGCATGTGCAGGGCGCATAGAATTATGGGTGTGGGCATGCATGTGCGTGACCCCCCTCTCCCCCCTTCGCTCCTGGCACGCGATGGCAAAAAGGTTAGCCATGACTGCTATAGGAAATCCTGGCGTTAAGAGAAAGACTCCAGCCTCTAGTAGTTCAATGTGAGCTAATGGATCTCTTTGGGGTTAATGTCTTTAAAAAAAAAAAAAAAAATCTCCGCCAAGGACTCCTTTCCCTTTTCAAAAAGGGAATTCTGAGCAGGCAGCCCTCACTGGCAACATTACCAGGGAAAAAAAAAAAAAGCAGATTGCATCAGCTCTTCCTGGGACTTGTCCAGAGAAAAAGCAGCTGGCGGATAGGCAGCCTTTGACTGAATGTGTTCCTTTTCTCCAAGAGTACAAGGGTATTTTGGAAACAATCTCAAAAGATTTCCCCCCTGAATTTTAAAGGGGAATACAACCCTTTTCCCACAGGAGGATTTTTAACAACTCTGACATTCATCTGTTAAAAAAGATGGCGAGTCTAAAATGAAATTCCCAGGCTGGTACAAACAGTCCTTGACTTACGACCACAATTGAGCCCGGAGTTTCCGTAGCTAAGCGAAACAGCTGTAAAGTGAGTTTTGTCCCATTTTGCAATCTTTCTTGCCACAGTTGTTAAGTGAATCACTGCGGTTGCTAAGTTAGTAAAACGGTTGTTAAGTGAATCTGGCTTTCCCTCATTGACTTTGCTTGTAAGGTCGCAAAAGGGGATCACGTGACCCGGTGGACACTGCGACCGTCATACATAGGAACCAGTTGCCAAGCTTCTGAATTTTGATCACGTGACAATGGGAATGCCGCAATGGTCGTTAAGTGTGAAAACGGTCATAGGTCACTTTTTGTCAGTGCTGCTGTAACTTTGAACGGTCACTAAACGAACTGTTGTAAGTCAAGGACCACCTGTACTTACATACAACAAAATGCAGCAAGAATGGTTTGCAACACCTTTGAGAATACAACAGGAGAATGTCGTTTTCAAATTTTTCCTTAAGAACTTAGGAGACGGAAGAAAAGAGAAACCTAAAATGTTTCCTGCCCTCTTAATGGTTTTATCAACAGACATGTTGTTTCACTATCCAAAGTCTGAAGAAATCGCCTCTCTTATCTAGTTGTAGCCTGCCTTTATTGTGTTTACAAATAACTCAAGGTAGCAAACATATCCAACAACAATCCTTTGAGGTGGGCTGGGCTGAGAGAGAGAGATTGGCCCAAAGACACCCAGTAGGAGTTCATGGCTAAGGTGGGACTGGAACTCACCGTCTCCTATTGATTGGCCCAAAGTCACCCAACTAGCTTTCATACTTAAAGCGGGACCAGAACTCCCAATCTCCCATTTCTATCCTGGTGCCTTAACCACTGGACCAAAATATCTCTCAATGGAAGACCAGGCCGAAAAGCTGTTTCAGAACAGCCTTGCTTGGGGTTATGCACCAATCACCTCATGCACCTCATTTAACAATACTAACTGGGGTGGGAAACTATTTTATCAGTAGGACATACATGAAGCTGTGATGATACGCATTATCAAAGATTGCAGACATTCAGAAAATTTAAATGGGGGTGGTTGGAAAAGGGCATACTGCTTTTCACTGGCATATATGCCATAATATGCAACCTGATAGGATTTGCATTTATTTATTTATTTATTTATTTATTTATTTATTTATTTATTTATTTATTTAAAATTTGATTTATATGCTGCCCTTCTCCGGAGACTCAGGGCGGCGTACAATGCGTTAAGCAATAGCCTTCATTCTTTTGTATAAGTCAGCTTATTGCCCCCACAAACTGGTCCTCAATTTATCTACCTTAGAAAGGATGGAAGGCTGAGTCAACCTTGAGCCTTGGAGAGATTCGAACCAGCAGTAATTGCAGGCAGCTGTGTTAATAACAGGGTGCTTAGACCACTGTACTATCAAGGCTTAATATTTTGGCAACTTAATATCCTACAGATAGTCCTTTGACATCCATTTATTTAGTGTTCAAAGTTATAACAGCACTGAATGAGGGGGGACTTAACAAAATAACAAGAGTTGGAAGGGACCTTGGAGATCTTCTAGTCTAACCCCCTGCTCAGGCAGGAAACCCTATACCCGTGGTGGCAAACCTATGGAACACATGCCACAGGTGGCACATGGAGCCATATCTGTGGGCACGCAAGCGTTGCCCTAGCTTAACTCCAGTGCGCATGTGCGTGCCAGCCAACTGATTTTCGGGCCTTCCTGATCCACCAGAAGTCAGGAAACGGGCTGTTTCCAGCCTCCAGTGGGATGGGGAAGGCTGTTTTCGCCCTCCCCAGGCTCCTAGAAAGCCTCTGGAGCCTGGGGAGGGTGAAAAACGGGCCTACCGGGCCCGTGTGCCAAAAGCAGGGGGAGTGCAGGGGGGTTGCGCGCACATGCTTTGGGGGGGCGGGGTGCATTGAATTATGGGTGTGGGCACGCAGGTGCGCTCCCCCCGCTTTTGGCACGCGACGACAAAATGGTTAGCCATCACTGCCCTATACCATTCAGACAAGTGGCTGTCCAATTTCTTTTTGAAAGCCTCCAGTATTGGAGCAGCCACAACTTCTGGTGGCAGGTTGTTCCAGTGGTTAATTGTCCACATTGTTAGGAATGTTCTCCTTAGTTTCCAGGTTGCTTCTCTCCTTGATTAGTTTCCATCCATTATTCCTTCTTCTGGCCTTCAGGTGCTTTGGAGAATAGTTTGACTCCCTTCTTCTTCTCCCTCCCCTGAGATATTGGAAGACTGCTATCATGTCACCCCAGTCCTTCTTTTCATTAAACTACACACATTCAATTCCAGCAACTGTTCTTTGTATGTTTTAGCTTCCAGTCTACTAATCATTTCTGTTCATTTTCATTTTCATGAGGACAACCAGTCCAGTGGGGGGTTGCTACTGGTTCGCCCCGGATCGTGTGAACCGGTAGCGGCGGTGGCAGGAGGCTCCCCCAACCCACCCGGATGCTTCTGCGCATAAGCTTCTGTACATGCACAGAAGTGTCAGCTGCGGGTCCGTGAGCGAATCGGTAGCAACGGGTTTTGAAACCCGCCCCTCAACCAGTCCTCATAGTTGTGGCCACTGCAGTTCCCCTGAGGTCATACAGTATGATCACAATTCAGATGCTTAGCAACTGATTTGGAATTATGACAATGCTATGTCGTGCAGTCATGTGACTGCCATTTGCAATCTTCACTGCCGGCTTCTAACAAGCAAAATCAAAGGGGGAAGGAAGTTGCAATTGGCCCTTGATTATGTGATGATATAACCCTGTGTGATTTGCCTAATGAAACTGCTACATTTTGCGGCTACGTCGCTTAGTGACAGAATTCCTCATCCCAATTACCGCTGATAAGCGAGAACTACATGAATTTAAATTAACCCCCTGTAATAAACTTATTTTGTTACTTATTTAAACTCTTGTTTCCACTGTTGGTGAATCGGATACATAAATTATATTATACTGTTACAAAGAAATTAATTCAAGATGAGTATTTTTTCAATAAGAATTGTAACTGGCAGTAGCTAAATTGTTTTAGGAAAGAAGGAAATAAGTACATGTAATGTTTTATACAGTGTGAAGTACTACACCCAAATATTCCACTTAATCAAAGCTGTTTCTGCTGCCCTCCTTGGAAATTAACACGTGCACACATATTGCTTGGATTCTTAATTAACGTTTCTTTCATTTGATTAAGAGAAAGCAACATGTTTTGAGGCGGTCTTATGGATATTTATATACATGGCTATATAAACCACTAACTATCATGGCCATTCATGAGCAAGGTTACCATGACAGCAAAGACATTCTAAGATTTAGAAAGGACATCGGAAAAAGAAGATATGCCTGTTCTCTTTCATGTATTTATCAGAAGGTTATAAGAAATAATGAACAGCATACATACCTTAAAGGAACTATGCACTAATGTTTCATCAAGATCAATGACCACGCATTTCTTCCCGTAATCAGATATTGTCATTTCTGGCAAGAGGTATTTAGCTGGTGGCTAAACAGAGGGGGGAAAAAAAGAGCACCTTCAAAATGTTAGGAATTTCCAAGATAAACCTAACGATTGGGGAAAACTAATATAGTCATAATTAAATTATTTATGCCTTGCTGGACAAATACCTGGAACCACATTTTCTTTTGCATGGATTATAAAGGATTTCAATGATATAGGTAGTCCTTGATTTACAACAGTTCATTTAGTGACTGTTTGAAGTTACAACAGCACTGAAAAAAAGTGACTTATGACCGTTTTTCACACTTAATGGCCATTGCAGCATCCCCATAATCATGTGAACAAAATTCAGATGCTTGGCACCTGACTCGTATTTATGACGGTTGCAGTGTCCTGGTGTGTGTGTGTGTGTGTGTGTGTGTGTGTGTCACATGATCACCTTTCTTACAATATGGAACCCAGATTCACCTAACAACTATGTGACTAACTTAACAACTGCAGTGATTCACTTAGCAATAGGAAGATCATAAAATGGGGCAAAATTCACTTAATAACTAACTCAGAAATCTGGAGCTCAGTTGTGGTCATAAGTCAGGGACTGCCTGCATTCCCCCAAATTAGCATTTCTGTCTACTATGAAAGATCCCTGGAATAAACAGAGGGAGAGATCTGAAATGGAAGAGCAAAATCTTTCCACAATAGTCTCAAGATAAGGCATTCTTTTAAAATCTAGCAGACTTGTATTGTAAATAATTAAAATACTAAAACAGAAGTTCATGATGGTTTTTCCCCCTCACAATTTGACTGAATTGGCAATCCTGTGTGTGTGTGTGTCATTTGAGAGAGCAATATCAGTAATTGACAAAATGGCTTCCGTGTGGTTATGGCCAATCACAAAACAATAATTTTACAGGCAAGAGATCCAAGCAGGTTCAGAGATCAAGGCACTTGATTAATAAATTCAGTGCAAAGCAAAAGTGAGGTCTGAACCAAGACAGATGTCACAAATTTTCCCTCATGTGAGAGCCAGTTAACAAAAATACAGACTGACAAATGTCAGGAAAACACAGTAATGTAGCAGCCACTCACGGACTGCCTGTACCACAATTGAGCACCAAAATTTATGTTATTAAATGAGAAATTTGTTAAGTCAATTTTGCCCCATTTGTTAAGTGAATCACTGTGGTTGTTGAATAAGTGACACGGTTGTTAAGTGAATAGGGTTTCCACACTGACTTTGCTTGTCAGAAAGTCTCAAAAGGGGATGACATGACTCCAGGACACTGCAACCGTCATAAATGTGAGTCAGTTGTCAAGCATCCGAATGTAAATTATGTGACCATGGGGATGCTGCAACGGGCATAAGCATGAAAAATGGTTATGTCACTTTTTTTTGGTACCGTTGTAACTTCAAACGTCACTAAACGAACTGTTGTAAGTAGAAGACTATCTGTATATTCTGCTCAACATACTGTATGTTCAAGAAAACCAAAACAAAAAATAAAAGAACAAAATACACAGAACATAAAACAAAAAAAGAATTTTACTTTAGTAATGTATGTCCTGGCCTGCTTCCTTATTTTAAGACTGGACTGGGAAAACCCACAATTCTTGTTTTTTTAAGAATCCTTCTGGCTCAAATGAAGCAATCTTATGAACCCAGATGGTTCTGGATATTGAACCCACCAGATTCCCAGAAAGAAAATATTTTTAAGTGAGGAGGAGGGGCCATCAAGAGATCATACTATGCACACACATTTGGAACTCCCCTAAATTGAAATCATATAGGTTGGTAATATTAGCCATACAGGGTATAACAGAGACTCTCATTAAATTATTTGTTTCTTTAAAAAACATGGTCACGTCTGATTTTGACAAGGAGACCAATATCATAGATTGTGACTACATTGTTTTATTTTGTTTTTCACATACAGACTAGGGAGTAGTCCTTGACTTATGGCCGGTTGCTTAGCAACCATTCAAAGTTCTGACTGACCTACCTTGGGGGGTTACTTATGACCCGGTTTCAAAATTCTGACAGTTGCCCGCATGGTCATGTGACAGCACTTACAGCTGCTTGCAGCATCCTGTAGTCACATAACCGTGTTTTATGACAGTTTTGTTAAAAACCAGCATTTATTTCTGGTTTTCAGCAAAACGTCCCCCCTAGAGAACCAATGATTCATTTAGAACTGAGGATTTGCCTAACCACCACAAAAAAGGTCATTAAAATCATAACATAACCTGTTTTACGACCATCCCAAGTTATGACTGTGAAAGCCAGGCTCTACTGCAGTCACAACTCGAGGATTACCTGTAATTACAGTATCTATAGGATCTATTAATTATAGTCCTAGGCTGCATTAACAGAGGGATAGAATCAAGATTGAAATGTTAATACTGCTTCATAATGCTTTGGCAAGACCACCCTTGGAATACTGCACCCAATTTATAAAAAAGATGTTGAGACTCTGGAAAAGAATGCAGAGAAGAGCAACAAAGATGTTTGGGGGCTGGAGGCTAAAACGTATGAAGAAGAGTTTCAGGAATTGGGTATGTCTAGTCTTAATGAAAAGAAGGACCAACCAACGGTGACATAATAGCAATCTTCCAATATTTGAGGAACTGCCACATAGAACTTATTCTCCAAAGCACCTGAAGGCAGGACAAGAAGCAATGGGTGGAAACCAATCAAGGAGAGAAGTCACCTAGAACTAAAAAGAAATTTCCTAACAGTCAGAACAATTAATCAGTGGAACAACTTGCCTCCAGAAGTTATAAATACTCCAACACTGGAAGTTTTTAAGAAGAGACTGGACAAACATTGTCTGAAATGGTATAGGGTTTCCTGCCTGAGCACGGGGTTGAACTAGAAGACCTCCAAGGAGCATTCCAACTCTATTGTTCTGTTATTTGTAGCCTTGTAGACTACCAATAAACTGGCACTGCAGACTTCTCTGAGCAATATTTTTATTCCTGTTTTCGTGCCTCAACATTGTCAGTCCCTAAACATTGCTGGGTATAACAGGCTTCTTTGTCCTGTAAAAACCCTTTGACTTTTAAACAGAGTATACAAAAACAGGAACATGCCAATGAGGTCAGTTGATCAAATGAGAAATATAAACAGAGACACAGACACAAAATCACACTAAGTATTATTACCGCTTTATAAATTCCACACCTGGAATACTGCATCCAGTTTTGGTCACCATACTACAAAAAAGATGTTGAGACTTTGGAAAACGTGCAAAGAGGAGCAACTAAGATGATTAAGGGCCTGGAGACTAAAAGTTGCAGGAACTGAGTTTGGCCAGTCTAGAGAAAAGAAGGACTAGGGGTGACATGATAGCAGTCTTCCAGTATTTGAGGGGCTGCCACAAAGAAGACGGGGTCAAGTTCTTTTCCAAAGCACCAGAAGGCAAGAGAAGAAACAATGGATGGAAGCTAATCAAGGAAAGAATAATCTAGAACTAAGGAGAAATTTCCTGACAGTGAGAACAATTAATCACTTGAATGATTTGCCTTCAGAAGTTGTGAGTGCTTCAACATCGGAAGACTTTAAGAAGAGACCGAACAGCCACTTTTCTCAAATGGTATAACGATTCTTGCCTTGAGCAGGGGGTTGGACTAGAAGACCTCCAATGTCCCTTCCAGTTCTATTCTGATTGACTGATATACTGATCACTTTCTTAACCTTCCTTTGGCTTTCTCATGATTTTGCAAGAGGGTTACTTACTTCTACTCTGGGGTGACCATTTTTGTATGGGGAATGAAATCCATGAAAACGTAAATTGCTGCATTACACATCATGGAATTAAAATGATATGTAAGTTAAAAGACACAGAGAGCTTGTGTATGATGTAATGATTAAGAGCCTGGTTTGATCCTGGTATGATCCAAATTCTAATCCACTTTAACCCCATCTGTGATTATGGGCCACCCACTCTCTCTCAGTCTAACCTATTTTGCAAGGTTGCGGTGGGGGAGAAAAAAAATAGATTTTTTTTGTATGCCACTTCGAACTCCTGAGGCAAATCTGATGAATAAGTATCCCCTTAATAAACGTAGGTGCAGACTCCATATTCCTCTTATTACAATTATGTACAGGTAGTCCTCGACATACGACCACAATTGAGCCCCAAATTTCTGTTTTTAAGTGAGACATTTGTTAGGTGAGTTTCGCCCCATTTTACAACCTTTCTTGCCACAGTTGCTATGTGAATCAGTGCAGTTGTTCAGTTAGTAACACAGTTGTGAAGTGACTCTGGCTTCCCTGTTGACTTTGCTTGTCAGAAGGTTGCAAAAGGAGATCACATGATCCTGGGACACTGCAACTGTCATAAATATGAGCCAGTTGTCAAGCATCTGAATTGACGCCTAAAAATGACAGGAATGAGTGGGAATGAAAACCCTAACTTTTTAAACATGTTCCAATGATTAAAAGGAAAAAAAGAAAGTACACTTTCCTACTCCACTTTCTTTTTTGTGGGGTGTTGAACTGATGATAAAAATGGTTGTTTCACAAAAATCTACCATGAACTCAAGTATTGCCAGCTCGTGAAAGTGAATCAACAAATAGTGGAATATATGCTTTCTGTGGGTTGTGGTTACTAAGATATGGTTTTGTGAGGTGCCCAACTCTATCGTAGTTCCACATTTCTAAGATCTTGTCAGAAGGCAACACGCACACACACAAATACAGACCATCTGAACCCAAATCAAGAACATTAAAAGAAACTGAACATAAAAAGAATAAAAAAATACATACACTTGGAATGGGAATGACCTGCATCTGGTCACCCTGGGGGGAAAAAAATCGTTGTAAGAGTGTAATATTTCAAAACAGTAGAACATAAAATAAACCGACATGTCAGATTTAATAAATAAAGACGTTCCAACTCAAACTCGAAAAAGAATTTAAGAAATTGGTTAAATTAAGAAAAGTAAATACTGTGTCAACAAAAATTATCAAGGAACTGTTACTAGAAATTTTGATATTTTCAACAGATATTACAAAAAGGGGCACAAAGCTTTTTTTTCAGCCTTGATGTGATGGTATTGCCATGCTGGACAATTTTGCTCTGCTGCTTATTCAATATAAATATTGTTCTGGTATGATATCATTACCAGAACAATATTTATCTATAAATTATTATTGTAATTAGCAATGAAATTCTAAGCTTTCCTTAGGTTCAGTACTAAGCTTAAATTTTTATTTTATTTATTTATTAATTTATCCAATTTATTGGCCGCCCATCTTATCACAATAGGACTTGGATCCAGTTATAGTCATACTTAAGAGAACATCCACTGCAGCCAATCCTTGTATTTCAAATCAATAGATTTTACTTGCATGATTTAATACATTAATACAATAATATATTATTAAATTCAGGGAGAACCAATTACGTATTTCAAAGTGAAGTGATGACTGCTTATTTTAATAGCCAGATAGAGATAGGTTAAAAATATAGTGATTATCTTTATGTACCATCGAATCAATCTACCTCATGGTAGTTTACAATGGAAATAAAACCAAGAATACAATAAAATCAATTTCCATTTAAAATTAATAAAGCAATAAAGCAATCTCAGCAGGATAATAAAATAATAACTTTAATATACATGGCAGCAAATTATACTGTAACTCTTAGCCATCTTCTGGAAGGAGGCTAACAGAAGTGACGACTAGGTTTTTGGGGGTATGTTGTTCCACAGGATGAGGTACATGAGAGAGATATGGGTCATTTTGGGGAGGGGGGGGGACACTGTTATCTTCAATGGGGAACACTAAACATCTTCATCTGAGATAAGGGTCAGTTCTACTTGGAGAAAGCAATCCAGAAGGTACCTAGCACTCACAATACAAGTGTAATAAAACTGGAACAGCTCTTACCCACTGGCATGTGGGAAGCTGTGTTTTGCACCAACTGCAAATTTCTACATAGTTTTCAAGGGCAGCCCTGTGCTACAGTAGTCTAACCTAGTAGTGAGGAAGGAATGACTTAGGACTTCCTGCTGCAGATAGGATCATAGCTAGCATACCCAAAGATGCTTTTTCAAAAGGCAACAGGACTTTACTTTCCCTTGAAGACATTTCACTTCTCATCCAAGAAGCTTGTTCAGTTCTGAATGAATGAATGGTAGAGGATGAAAGGATTTATATTCCTTGCAGTCTTCTAGTCAACATTAGTACTCTTTCTGAGAGTCATTGAGGTCACTTTCGTTCTCCACCATTCAATCAGAACTGAAGAAGCTTCTTGGATGAGAAGCAAAATGTCTTCAAGGAAAAACAAAGAAAGTCCAGTTGCCTCTTGAAAAAGCACCTTTGGGACAACTGTGGCCTGAATGACTGAGAATCTCCATTGACATATAGCTAGCATACATGCCCTAACAATGACATCTATGGCAAATACAGTAAATTCTCAAGCTGTGGATTTGATCCTTCAGAGAAATTGCTACCATAAGAAGAGTCAGAACTGGAATAGCGAGAAAACCAGATGACAAGATGATTTCTCTCGGAGGTTTCATGGAAATATTAAAAAAGTAGGAATGATGGAACTATGGACCACACAAAGGGGCATCCATAGGGCAGATCTTCCACCCACCACCACCCCCGGTACAGTCCAAGTGGTGAAACCACTGTAAAAATGCATCTCCAGAATTGAGAAAGATACCATGATGGTATCAAACACCGATAGGAGAGGAAGTGGCACCATTGAGGGGCTTACAATTTCATTCAGAAAATGGCAAAGGTCATCCAATAGAGTTACCAGTGGCGTTTTCATTCCATGCCAAGCTTAAAACTCAATGGAAAAGTGTCTTCTGCTTCCCCCAGAGAACTGTCATTGAAGTTGAAATGAAATTCCAGGCTGCATTAGTAGAGGGATAGAATCAAGTTCCACCATCTTGTCAACAATAAAGAGGAGGTTTGGGATGGCGTGGTGTCTTACGTAACTTTCCAGGGAAAGCGTTTTCAGAGGATACACTATACCAATGCTTTGACCGTTTTTCAGATTTATTTAAGGCCATTAAGAGGAAAAGAATTAAGTCTTGTTTCCAGTGATTCTCAATAGGGGTTCGGTACCTTATCTGATATGAACTAGGTGGCAATTTATAACTGCGGATTTACTCATATAAGGCTGCACCTTCCCACCCAAAATTCACCCTATTAAAAAAAAAAAAACCTTACCTTTTGAAGCCCGCCATTTTCTTCCACCAATGGAGGAAGGACACTGGTGCTGTTAGGAGATGGCGTCTCAACATTGTAGTCACGAAAGCAGCAGAATAAAGTGCTGAAGATGCTTCTGCTCCTCTGCTTTTTCAAACTGAGATTACATTGGGACACTGTAAAGAAATGAAATATTGCGTTGTAAATGGATTTTTTTAAAAAAATGCCTGTTGTTTCACACAGAACACAGGTAGGTAACTCTAATGTTATAGTATTGACTTTTTTTTTTTAAAAAAAAATCCTCCATTATTTCTAGCAAATTACTATACAAGTAGTCCTCAACTTACGACTGGTTGCTTAGAGACCGTTCAAAGTTCTAACGGACATTCCCAAAAGTACTTATGATCCAATTCAAAGTTCCAACATGGTTTCACATAGTCACTTGGCCACATTTTGGGTGCTCAACAACTGGCCCATGTTTACGGCCGTTTGCAGTGTCACGTGATCGTGATTTATATTTTTGTCAAAAACCAGCATTTACTTCTCTTGGATCCTCCTAACGACCATGGTATTCGCTTAACCACCCCTGCAAAAAATGGTATCAAAACCTGGTCATGTGGGCGACCCACATTATGACTATCATGACTTACGACCGTAATAAGCAGGCTCCATTACAGTCATAAATGGGGGACTTAGCTGTGTTTTAGTCTGAAAACAGATCTTCTGTAAATTTGATGTCTCTATTTGTAAGCAAGTGAATTATTTCCAGTTTATGATGTTGAATATTTCCAGAGAATGAATGAAATGGTATGCCAGAGTGTTACATGTAATGGAATTTGTTAATCCATATTGTTTTTATTGCAGCAAACAACTGCACAGATCACATCCATATTTTACGCTAAGGTATAAAGGATTCATCAGGCTATGTCCACAGAAATAAGAACCATCTGCTCCTACAGCAAACGATATAACAATGTTTTATTTAGATCCATTTGGACAAGGCCTTTGAGAAAGCACTAGTAAAAACATGAAAGGTAGCTGTTAAAAACAAAAACAAATTCGCTAGCAAACACATTTTGAGGTTTGTCGGAAATGTGTGATCAAAAGGTCTTTTCAGGACAATGGGAAAAAAACTAATATATTGCAGTAAGAATCTAAGTAATAGTTGTAATTAGTCTGTGATCCAAAAAGAGAGCATTATGACCTGAGTTTCCTCAAACATATGCATTCTCTGCCCCAGTTTTCCCATGGCAAATGATTTCTGTAGAGGAATATGAAAAACATATATGAAGGAGGCATTTCCATCGCCACTAGGAGACCACTTAAACACAAGCCAGGAGTGTGCGGCAGCAGCCAAAAAAGCTAATCCAGTCCTTGGTTGTATAAACAGAAGCATAGAATCAAAATCATGTGAAGTATTAGTACCGCTTTATAAAGCCTTACTAAGGCCACACCTGGAATACTGCATGCAGTTTTGGTCACCACGTTACAAAAAAAGATGTTGAGACTTTGGAAGAAATGCAAAGAAAAACTAAGATGATTAAAGGCCTGGAGACAAAAACATATGAAGAACAGTTGCAGGAACTGAGTATGGCCGGTCTAGAGAAAAGAAAGACTAGGGGGGTGACATAATAGCAGTATTCCAATATTTGAGGAGCTGCCACAAAGAAGAGGCGGTCAACTTATTTTCCAAAGCACCAGAAGGCCAGATAAGAAACAATGGATGGAAATTAATCAAGGAGAGAAGCAACCTGGAACGAAAGAGAAACTTTCTAACAGGGAGAACAACTAACCAGCCGAACAGCTTGCCTTTAGAAGTTATTGGTGCTTCATCACTTGAGGTTTTTAAGAAGAGACTGTCTGAAATGGTATAAGGGCTCCTACTTGAGCAGGGGGTTGGACTACAAGACCTTGAAAGTCCCTTCCAGCTCTATTCTGATTGATTGACCACATTTTGAATTCAACTACCCCATTTGCAACATTACAGCTGACTTCCGAATTCAGAGCATGTAAAGGAGCATCCTGCAGGACTGGAAGTAAGGTCATTGTTTTGCAAACCATTTTGCAATACAAGTAGTCCTCGACTTATGACCATTTATATAGCGATTGTTCAAAATTACGATGGTGCTAAAAAAAGTTACTTATAACCACTGTCACGACAGTTACGACATTCATGCAATTATGTGATCAAAATTCAGGCAACTTGCATGTATTAATGGCAGTTGCGGTGTCCCGGGGTCATGTGATCATCATTTACAACCTTCCCAGGGATCTTCCAACAAGCAAAGACAACTGGGTAATCCAAATTTGCTTAATGATGGCATGATTCATTTAACCACTGCTGCAGCAAAAAACAAACAAACCGTAAAATCAGGCACAATTCTCTTGACGACTGCAATGGTTAGTACTGTAACTGAATCCAAAGGTGCTTTTCTGAAAGGCAACTGGACTTTCTGGTTTTTCTTTGAAGGTGTTTCGCTTCTCATCCAAGAAGCTTCTTCAGCTCTCCATAGACATTTACTGAAACTGAAGTTCTGGTCCCCAATGATGGTCAGAAATGAAGGCCTGTCTGCATTTCCTTACACTGTATGAATGTAGGGCCAAACACATTGGGGGGGGGAGGCTTCCTGCTGCCACTTGTGTGAATTTAACCTTTATTTTCTCACTCTTAAATTGAACCACTGAATAATCTGGATCAGACATGAAAATGGGGAGTTATACACCTCCTTCACAGACCTACAAAACTGCTTAGCCTCAACCTGGCATTTCATTGCAATTTGAATATTGTGTGATGTAGGTTTTTGTGTCTGGTGGAGCAATGCTGCTCCTGAAAAACACTATTTTTAAAGTGTTTTTTAAATTCGAGAATACTGAATATCATTGTCTTGCATAGAGCATATTTTCCTCTCCACTATTTTTGAACTCAAGCTAGGTAGCTTAGTGACTAAAACACTAAGCTGGTTGATCAGAAAGGTCGGCAGTTCGAATCATCTAGTGTGAGCATTAGATGACTTCCAAGGTCCCTTCCAACTCTTGTTACTGTTAAACCTGTTAAACTCTCTTGGCTTCTCCAGAAGTTTTTCAATTGCAAACTTCTACAAAGAGGCTGCAATAATTAAAAAAAAAAAAGTTTCAGCCATGTTTCAGTTCAAAATGAAGAAGCAAGTAAGTGAACAAAAGAGGCCTGATAAAAGATTTGGAGTCAAATTTAAGTGCTTTTTGTTCACCTTTGTCTTTTATAAAACCACCACCTGGACAGCTTCTCTAATAATAAAGTAAGGCATTAACTACAAATATTTCGAGGTTAAAACTTGCAAAGAAGTTGAGCTTATGTAGTTTGTTCTGCTTGAAAAGAACTTCATGTTGTATTGCAATAAAAGAATAGGTTTGTCTGTAAAACAATATCTTGCAGTCCAAGCTATTGAACTGTGATTGTAAAATAAGGAATGTTTCCCATTGCTTCAATAGGATGAGAATAATACAAATTTCTGCAAGTCTTTGGCTGAATAATTCCTAAGAAAAATGGAAGCACTCATGTGAACATCTCATTAAAGTCCATGTCAGGACTTTTGTTATCATTAAACAGAAGTGTTAAGTGTTTTTTTTTTCTGTAGTTAAATATTTAAGATCCTCTCAGAATGTCAGCCAAGGGTTTGTCTTTCACCTAAAATCACCAATTGTTGTTGGCTTTACTGGTACTTAAATTAGGGTTGTGATTTAAAGTAATTCATTCTCTTCTACGCTACGAATTGCCAACTACAGGGAATCCTCAAGTTACAACTATTCATTAAGTGACCATTTGAAGTTACAATAGCACTGAAAAAGAGGATTTATAGCACTAGCACTTAGACTTATATACTGCTTCATAGCACTCTATAAGGTTTACAGAGTCAGCCTATTCCCTCCAACAATCTGGGTCCTCATTTACTGAACTCAGAAAGACGGAAGGCTGAGTCAACCTTGAGCCCATCATGATCGAACTCCAGACAGTGGGCAAAGTCAGCCTGCAATACTGCATTCTAATCACTGCGCCACCACAATCTATGACCGTTTTTCACACTTATCACCACTGCAGCATGGTTGATCAAAATTTGGACACTCGGGACAGCACTGAAAAAAGTGACATGACCACTTTTCACAGTTACGATACCTGCAGTATCCCCACAATCATGTGATCAAAATTCAGAATGCTTGGCCACTGGTTCATAGCTATAACGCTTGTAACGCTGGGGTCATGTAATCCCCATTTGTGATCTTCTAGCAAGCAAAGTCAATGGAGAAGCCAGATTCACTTAATGTTCACATATTACTAACTTAACAATTGCAGTGATTCACTTAACAGCTGTGGCAAAGGTTGTAAAATGGGGCAAAATTCACTTAGTAACAGGTATTTGGGACTCAAATGTCATGTCACTGTATAGAAATAGTGGCAAGTAACTTGATGAGCTAGATCTAACCAATATACTTTTCCCACCCTTTTATTTCCTTGCTCTTATTACTTGTGGAAATATGGCTGGGAATAACAAAAATGTTTTTCTTCTAAGACAAAAAAAAAAGATGCAGATTTATTAAACTGATTCATGGGAAACAACTACCTATTGTATTTTTTTTCTTGAAATGGTAACTTTGTAAGAAGTTTGATAACTTGTAAAGGCAAACACTATTCAGTTGTCCCGTTTCAATTAATACAGCTTCAGGACTGCACCACTATAGTGAGAGAATATGGATAATTTAAAGCAGCCTTCGAATGAACTGGATTATAGTTACCATCAGCAGCAGATATATTTTTATTATGGAAAATGATGAGAGGTATACTCTTAACAGGTTTGGATGACACTAACATACAAAGGTCTCATTCACTAAGGCAGTGTTGTCCAACCTTGGCAACTTTTAAGACCCTGTGGACTTCAACTCCCAGAATTTGCCATCTAGCCATGCTGGCCGAGGAATTCTGGAAGCAGAAGTCCACAAGTCTTGAAGTTGCCAAGGGTAGATACCCCTGCACTAAGGCTTAACAAAAAGGTTACTAACCACAGGTAGTCTTTTTGTGGCCATTCGTTCGGAGGCTATTCAAAGTTACAGCGGTGCTGAATGGACTTATGAACATTCATGGCCACGGCAGTGACCCTGCGGTCATGTGATAAAAATTCAGGAACTTAGTAGCCTGTCCATGACA